GTCAAGACGGCAATCCAGTGTTGTAGATTTCGTGTAATGTCGCCTGAGTGACAACTTCTTTCTCTCGTTCTCTCGTAGATGACGAGAGGAGCGTAGAGAAATTCGCGTGGTCAACCGGAAGAACAAGTCCAACGACCTGAGTCTCGCCACATAAATTAAGGCATCATTGAATAGAATTGAATTACATTGATACTGATGTAGAGAAAGTAACGGACGTTGTAGTTTGTGAATCGAGGATTAAAATCAAAACAACTTCATTATTTAGGATATCGGTCGTATTTCTTTCTACACTTTTCTTAACCATTTTGTAGCAAAAAAGAATGGATATACAAAAAAATATATACTTTGAAAAAGAGCACTTATGTGCCAACTTCAGCTAAGTCTCATTTGTTTCGATTGTTCTTAATGGATAGCGGACTGTTAAATTCCTAAACGAACGCCGGCCGTTGAGAGTAGATTGTCGTGCCTCAATGTGGTTGCGTTTTGTCTTGGAAAACATTAAACGTCATCGAGCAGATAAGACGGTCTGAGCTGAAGAGTAAAATCGTCTGGTACTAGAATTGTGACATTCGGAGTGTATGATCCTATTTTGATGTTAGAAGCCATTAAGAAGGGAGTTTTGTAAATCCATTCTTTGAAGATGTAATACAGGTTGCGGTTTGTTATTTTTTGTTTAATGCAATCCTCAATGCACCAAGGCAATACGGATTGCAGGGCAGTAGTTCAAACGGGGCATATTCTGAGCGGGACATGGGATCGACGAGACGGGACGGGAAGTGCTGGCGGTGCAGAGTGAGAATGGTAGATGATGTAAAGTAAATTACTCGCATTTTTCACTGATGGCAGAATCTATTCCTTTTCTTTCCTACTTTACGATTGTCATAAATATATGTCCAGGCAGGCTATTTAAGATTATGCTATTAGACATTGAGTCAGTCACACATTTAATAAATTTATAAAAAACATTGTATTTTATATGCTGCCATACGGTTCATTTGATTACGATAAAACGTTGTCAACATATTGCTTTCATTTGCGCGATAGATATAAGCATAGTATAATGGGAATGTACGTGACTATCACTCATAGACGCGCATTGATGATTTTATGCATTTGTGCTGACGCAAGCGCCCCTGAACAGAAGCTCTACGCAACCCGCCGTGCCCTCAAGTATTAAGAGGTTCTTCGCTGTATATTCTGCCCCTGCAATTGTGAAATATCGGCTGGAATTATTACTTGTAGGTTGTCTCAGACAAGTAAATCAAATTTCTTCGAAAGAGTGTCATAGCGAATACATGCCCAAATTTGAGGGAGAATGATTTAATAATAGGATACTTGACAATCGTGTCCAAACCAGAATATAAGAAGAAGAAGAAGAAAAAACTCGCGAAAAAGCCTTTCATCTTTTAACATTTTTGCACAGTGTACCATAAATCGTGATTAACAATTACGCGACTAGTAGCGTATGAAGTGTAATACATTACATACCGAAGTATTGCCGGGTCCACTTGTCAACAATAGATGTTACATTGTACTCGGAAACAATACGTCCAAGCCTCATAAAAAATATGGTTTATGAGATTTCCAAGGGAAGGGGTCCTTCTTTATGTCGTAACCAATGAAAGGAGTTTCTGAACCTTATTATATTTTCTAAAAAACCCAATCTTTGGCGTATCAAATTCGTGTAAGAGTAAATAAGAGTCCGATTGTAAATATAGAAGAAGTCTATTAGGAAAACCTTCAAAATATTAGAATTGTTACTCAAGCATTTTACTGGGCCCACAGTGTTCTCATGGGTTCATTTATCTTTACTAAGAGGACAAAATTTAGGGGCTAGATAATTTAGATAATATGAAAAAATTTAGAGAACTCAGGGCTGAATTTTAATATTTCTCTCAACTTCTACTATTGTACTTAACATGGCTAGCTTGAACAACGATATCCAGATATTCTGGTACCTAGCAATTATGTTAATATTTGCACGGTATTGAATCAATTGGAGATGGTAACTTTCCTGTGAATTTGTCGTTTTATATTCTACAGAACATTCCAAAATCATTGTATCATTATTATAACATCTGAAAGATGTAGACTCTTTGATAAAAATATACTTGTAATTTATGTTTCTCCTTTCATATGATTACATTATTCCATGTCATATTAGTTTATTTCAAGGAATGTGTATCTTGTTGATGAGCCTTTCAATCTTGAATGAACATTTGGTTTATTCTACCTTCTTTTATTTGTTTGTTCTTTTTACATATACAGACATGAAATATTTCTTTTCAATTATTTGATTAAGATTAGTAAAGTAATTCAATTGTATTTTGTAGTCTCCTGGAAATTTCATCTTATTCTACAAGAATTAGATATATTTATCTCTTTTTTGTAACCCATTTATATATCATTATATTATCAAAATAATTATTTTTAACTATCCAATACCCTTTCTGGAAATATATTTTCACAAATTGCTGCCATAAAAATTAAGTACAAAGAATTAATTGTCCAAGTTATTATCACTTCTTTTACTCTACTAATAAGTTCTTATTTCCATAGTCTATTTGTCATGAATGTTTCTTTCAGCATTATTATATACAATTTACTACATACTACATTATTGTTCATACATGTTAGGTGATGTAGGTTCATTTTGATTTTACCTTTATTGAACTATCAAAGCAATTACTCAAAATACTTTTCCAAATAGTTCACCCTGGTGTTGCTCACTGGAGTTTTCATTTTATGAAAAGCAAATTGGCCAAATTGATGGTGACTCAATTAATCATAACCATCAATTAGTGTTGTTATTATTAGAGTCAATACTGGACCATGGGTCACGAGCCCAGAAAATATTATTCATGTAGTTTGCTTTTTCATTACATGTTATAGAAATTTTAAAATTATTTTAATGATTTCACATTTATTGATTAGTAGTTTATGGTACAAGTGAGTAAAATAAAATAGATTGCAAGTGAAAAGTTAGTGAAAGCAACGTATGCAAGTTGAATTACCAGAACATTTAAATTCTGAGCAGTAAATTCAAATTTTTTAATTCACTAGAAAAAAAAAATGTTTCCTCTGCCTCAAACAGTAAGAGAAATTGTGTTTTATAGCTGTAATGAATTAAATGACTGAAAATATTTCTTTACAATTTGAACCTAAAAGTGTGTCACTTTTTCCGATTTTAAATTATTTTTTTTATCAGCTGGAATGAAAATGGATTGTTGTTCATTACTTTTTAAGGCACTTTCATTATTTTTTGTGGTGTTTTATTGAGAATTTTTAACTGAAAAAGGAATTTCCTTATTTCAGGTCACGGAGCCATTGCCGTCTTCTAGTAGTAGTCCCACTGGCAGTAGCAGCAGCAGCAGTGGAAGCAGCAGTACTTCCGAGACATCTGCATCAACTTCAGGGAGCAGTCCTTCCAGTCCTGGCAGTAGTCCTGCTTCGTCCACAGAACCTACATCGCCAAGTCCTGAAGACACAGATACGCCTTCTCCACCATCTCCCTCGCTTCCTAGCCTACCCACAGATCGATCCACAACAGAAAAAGTTGAATATGGAATTAAAAATATTCCTCCTCAGCTTGCTCACAGACTGCCTAAACTTGCTCTGACAGCTGGAAAACCTTTCCGCTATCTCATTCCCAGTGACACATTTTCTGATTTAGAGGATGGAGATACAAGAAAATTGAGACTGATCTTCACACATCTCAACAAAACAAGTATTATGCCAACATCATGGGTTCAATTTGATATAGAAAAACAAGAAGTTTATGCACTGTAAGTATTGCTAATATTTATTTATTTGTTTGGTTGTCTGTTTGTTAGTGTGTTAATTAATTAATTAATTAATTAAAACTTTTGAAACAAATGATTCCACCTCAAATACCAATAACAATTATTGTTCTTTGTAACATAAGGATACTCAGAGTATTTCAAAATGTTATCAGAGATAGTCAGCATAAAACAACCACTCATATCTAAATTTGTGAAGTGTTTTCTTACTTTTATGGAGACTGAAGAATTAAACATTAAGTTAATATGTAAGGTAGTATTAATCAGTTGAAACACTGATTTCTACTTTGTCTATTTATCTCAAAAGGTGTAATAATCCTGAATATTTATTTGCAGATGCGTTATTTATATCATGGTTTTCAGATAACTTAGTGCTTTTTCATGGAATTTGATTTTACAATGTATAAAACATCAGTGAGGGATTCAAGGGAGGGGAAGGTGGGAAAAAGAATTCTCTCCCCTACACAGCAAAATAGATTTTCAAAACTTGGTGAATGATCTAGATCACATGATATTAGTGAATTATTATTGAAGACTTTATGACAAAGATGTTTATCGTTCAATTCATAACATTTTTAAGATTTACAGTTCAATTCCGTACAGTTATAAATTCAAGCAATGAAAGATTGTTTCTGAGAATTGCTTTCCATTATTAAAGTATGAATGGGAACAAGATTGTTTGAAAAATAACGGACAGGTTTGGGATTGGTGTGCATTATGGCATAAGCTGAAATCAACTACATATAAATCAGAATAAAGAAAAGAATACATATAAATCTAAATAAATTCAATTTTAATAAATATATGTTTTGTCATGAGAATCTTGAAATTGTGTATGCTATGTAGAATTTAATTAAGAAATACCTATTAAATTTAAGCAAATTTTTATTCGAAAATTCTTCATTTTTATTCTGCATTGCATAAAAAGGTAACAGATTTTAAATAGGCTGAATAGAGCTGGATTCAACAATTATTACTGTTCAAATATAAATTTTCTGAAAGTGCACTCCTAAGATATTTCTGTGGACTTTCCCTTGAAAATATTAATCTAGAGTATAGTCAATGTAGTAAAAACTATTATTTTAACATTAGAATGTAATCCAATTAATTTAAAATTACTGAGCATTATAATGAAAGAGAAAATTACAAAAAAGTTATTGATGTGCTATAAAAAAAAGTTTAAGAGAATAACAAAATATAAATAATTCAGGGCATACTTTAGAAAAAATAATATTCAACAGATGATGTGCCTATTATTCTTTCATTGTGGTATTACACACAATTCTGTGGAAGTTAGGTTAAGTGTTCTTTAGTCATTTTTTTTGTGATCACAAATTGACTGGAAGATTATTGAAATGAGGTTTGTACTCATTTGAACAAGTATTTGTGACCTTTCTTTGCATTTTTACTACTTAGTAGATTGTTGATAAATTTTCATAAATTATAAAACATCGAGGTGTTGGGTTTTTTCCTCCCACAAAGATTGTGATTACTTTGTCAGTATTCATAATTAATTTGATTGTTAAGATTCAATTTGTTGTTCTGCTATGGATTAATTTTGAGTGTGAAAATTTAATTTTCAGTTGCGAAAGTACAGCACAAAGTTGGGAAGTTCTAAAGAAACAAAACAAAAAGAGCATATTTATTATATACTGTATCAGGAGAGATACAGCAAAATATGGTGAATGCTCTGAAGTGATACGAAATTATGAAATAAAACTTTTGTTTTTGTACATGAGGAAGATCTGTTAAGATTACGTTTACCTCTGTGTTTTGTTGATGAATTTGTAGAGGACATGATTATGTTATAACACAAATGAAGTTAATATTTTCAGCTTTCACCAAATATAATTTAATTTTTATCTTTTCAGGCCTTTAGAAGAACAAGTATCTAAATGGGAGTTCCTTCTGGAAGCAATGGATAAGGAGGGTTCAACAATATCTGAGACCCTTGCATTGCAAGTTCAGCATCATAAAGGACGGAGAGCTCTTAATCATGAATTTTCCATTACCCTCCGTCCTCCAGATCGCATCCATTATGCATCCAACTTGGACTGGGAACTAGATTTGCTGAATGCAATTGCCCGAACAGTTGGAGATGCAGATACTTCGCACATTACTGTCCGCGCAGTGAATATCTCAGGAGACCCTAATGTATTCACATGGACAAATGACTCGCTACCAAGGTCACCTTGTCCCAAGGAAGACATCGAACGTATTCTTCAGGTAGTATTTGTCAAAATTACTTTGAAGTAAGCCATAGTTGCTGCATTCTCTAATGATGCTTTATAGTAAAAATTTCAATATCCGATTTCAAGAATTAAATATATGAGTTAGGTTCATTTATGTAAATCGAATAATAGAAGTCAATAAAGTGAATTGAAAAGTGTTTCCTTATCATATTAACTTGGAATTTTAAAGAATTTTGTGGAGTGATTACATATTAAATGTAAGTGATAGAAATGCAAGAAGCTGTCATTTGTAAATTTTGTCCATTATATAAATTGTTCTGTGTTATTTTTTGATAAAAAGACATTGTGTGGTATTAAAAATAAATAAATAAAATAAAAACGAAAGAAGAAAGAAAAAAGAAAAATTGATACCAGAGAACACCTTTTTCTCAAATTATTACAAGGTAACAACTTATTAGCAATATATTAATTGTTTTATGTTACTTAGGTGCTGAGCAAAGATAAGACTGGAACACCTTCTGAAAGATTAAAGGAAGCAGTACCTCTTCCTTTACAACTTCGGAAAGTATCTTGGCGAGGATTGGCACAATGTGATCAGCCAACACCCCCGCCAGGACCTCCTCAACCAAAAAATTACCCACCAGTTACCCGGAATCCTATTGATGAAATTGAAGCAACTGAAGGAAGATTGTTGGTCTACAAAGTTCCTTCTGTAAGTGAACAGCTATTACTTTTTATTATGACATTGAGGTCCAAGAGTAAGAAAGTTTGTGGAGAAAATTATTTCTAAAGGAAATGGAATGATAGTGTGCAAAAAGATCTGTACATCTTTTCGACAATTATAGATATTTCTTTCACTTCAAAATTTCACAATTCTACAATAATTTCTTGTGGCTTTAAGTTTCCGAGATGAAAGTGACATGTTAGTTAAAAGTAATTAGTTATCTTTGTTGAAAAAAGAGTGACTAATAAATTCTATAAGTTCTCTGCAAAATATATACTTATAAATAATATTTTGGTAATAATACTAACTTTACATTTTTTTCTATCTAATTTTTAACCAATGATTCAATTGAAATAACATTGTGACTGACATTTAATATTTGCTGAAACAAACAACCACTCATATCTAAAATCTTTAACAAGTTTTGATTTGATTTATTAAGTACAACTGTATGAATCACTTCCGAACACTTTAACTATAAATAGTTGAAAGATCAATAAAAGTTTAAGAAATAAAATAAAATAAACAACAATAAAAATATAATAATAAAAAATAAAATTAAAATTGCAGATTAGCAACTAGTTTGGGTTGGATGCAGAAGCATTTAATGTGGGAGACTGGGAAGGGTCTGTGCGCATCATTGCAGGAACAGATTGCAAAGTTTGTATGCTAGTACAGAAACCCTTCATCTCTATACAGCATCCTGATGCACAAGGGAGAAACATCTTGATGTGCAGATTCAAGAAGGGATGCAAGGAATATATTATCTCATAATGGCATTAATGGTTGAAGGGTTAAAGTTAACTATTCAAGCTCTACAAATGACTGCTTTATTTAATTGCCCGCCCAGTTTATACTGAGATAATAAAACTATTCCATTGTTCAGTATTCATGTATCATTTTTATTTTGAATTTGCATGATCTTCCATCATACAAGTGGATTTATGATGGGCATGAGAGATGAGAAAAAATTCAAAACTTTTATTTTGCAAGTTGAACCAATATTAAATTAATATTACTAATTTACCACTACTATGCTACTTTGTATGGTGGCCATAGATATATCAATACTTGTTTTACAAGTGTATATCAACCTTAATCCTCTTTTCTTTGCGATTACACTTCTAAAACAATTTGTGTAAAACATTGACTTTCACTCTCTTTTAGCCTTGAACCACGCACGCCTCAAGCCAAGATTGATTTTTTTGATTTTGAACCAGTGCTTACATTGACATTTCATTAAACATTAGAGAAGTCCTTTCATTTTGGGGACTTACTCATATCTCCTCAGTTCCTACCCTAAAAGAAACTCGCTTTTTCAATTGTACTTATGTGTGTTAGTTTATTAGTATTTTCAACCTTGTCCAAACTCTTATGACAGCATGAATCCATGAATTATCAAACATTATCAAATCTTTATAGTGAAAAATATGCATGTTTAGAATTAAATTGTTGTGAATTGAATTCTTGTCAAAAATGCTTCTTTTCATCTGCATTCATAATTCAACTTGGGTATACCTGATTAGGATAGGGATCTCAGAATTAGGAAAAGATGCACAGAATACACTTTTTCTCATAGTAAGTCACAGTTTTTAACTGTTCCTGACATGAAATAAATTAATGAACAAAACTCTGTATAAATGTGAATTATTTGCAATTGTGGAATTGTAATACAATGTAAAAATCATACATTTTTACTGAAAGAGTTGCTGTCAAGATCCTCTGATATTACTTTTTAGAAGGATAATCTTTTTAATAAGAGACAGTTTGTATAAGGCTTAGAATTGATAAAATAATACATACTAGAGATAATCAATATTTATGGAATTGGGACATTCTTGAATAAAAGTACATCAGAATCAAATGTGGTACATATTGAAGGAAACACAATATTGTTAAAAAGGAAAAGTGAGTCACCAGAAGCAAAGAATTTATATAATCGAAAAATTTTGGAATGTTAGCAAGGTAATTTTTACCATGATAATTAATAGAAAGTTCGGAAAAGACCCAAAGCATTTTAATTGTTTTGATCATTTGAAGCCAACACGTAGACATCTTAAGTAAAAAGAGAAAAGAAAATTTCACTTTGGGCATAGCAGCTATGCTATTGCAGCAACTGTTAGAGGACTAAACAGTAATTTACTTTTGACGATTTATATTGCACAAAAATAGTTAATTTAACGTTTATGGTACATTTAAATGCAATTTAAAAAGTCATTTTGAATAAAATTAATGATCATGGACAATTTCAACTACGATAAATTACTACTTTAAATGTGTATTCTACTCTAAATCAATCTTCATTGCATGGTGTCAATCAAAACTTGAACAACTCTTTCCCTGATAAAACAGCCTACTTCAAGTTATGACAATCATTCATGGGAATGTGAAATGTTGCTTTTTCCCAAGTATATCAATTACAACTGCAATTCAGTGTAAACACATTTATTAACCTTCACAAGTAGAGGGCAGTATGAAATGGAAATAAGAACTTTTGCAGGCAATTACATAAAATATGAAAACTAAGGATATATTCAGATCTGAAAGTAATTGTTCACTTGCCCTAAAATGTTCTTTAATAATCAATCTTGGAACTTATATTACTTTGTATCAATGCTTGACATGTGTGTTTTGTATTAATACATGGAAAAAGTAAGAAGAAAAAAATTAAGAATTTTAATTTGACTCTAGTCTGTTAACTACTATTTTCTTTTTTTAAGACAATTTAATTCACATTGATGGCAAATTTGTTCAGAAAGTTTATCTATATTGTTCTTAGGAGAACAAAATTTGCCAATTTATTACTGAATTGTCAAATTTTTTATCCGACTGATACATCAGTTATTTGAATGAAATTCAGTTAGTACATGTTATAACAACAAACATATTCTTTCATAGTATTCTTATTTTGTTGACTTCTATAAATAAAGGCACATGAAATGTGACGATGAAAATTCATTTATTATTGAGAAGAAAAAAATCTTTAACGTTAAAGTGTCATGTTTAAAAAAGAAAAATACTCTAAACAGTTTTCTGACCACCAACTATTAAAATATGTAGTAGACAATTTCTGCTTCACAAGTAAAGATTTAGATCTCTAATGAATGGACAGAGTCTTTCAACATTCCTTTAACATTGAATCTTGAATGAAATACTTTTTCTGGTGAAGTTTGAAGGAAGGAAATTGGAGGTGAGTGAACTTCACCTATCCATAAATAAATTACCTTTTCACTATATTCATACCTTTGCATTTTTATATAATTTTCTTATAATCATTGAAAATTAAGTTGAAAGTAAAAGAATGTGAGTCTATGAAGGTTGGAGATGAAGCCATGAACAACATTCGCTAAAAGTGAAATAAAGAAATATTTATTGTCTGTAACATTAATTAAATTAATATGAGAAAATAATAGGAGAACTGTAGGAGACTTTGGTAGCCAGGAAAAAAAAAACCAAAATATTAATGGCTAAGGATATACAATTGAAAATTCTTAATTTAAATGTCTTACTTTAAACACTTAAATAAAAGCAATAAGTGAGTTTGGTAAATATTCTGTATTGTCGGGGGAGACAAGGTAATTAGGTATTATCTACAAGTCTTGGAACTGGGGTAGGGAATTTTATTATTTGTGAAGAAAATGCTACAATTTTATTCTTATAGTTAAACTGTAGATGTATTGCATTGGAAATACAGGAAAGATACAAAGTCTATATGTGCCTCAATGATAGTGTGATCCCTTAAATTTACCCAGTGCTCTTCACATGGCTCCAAAGCATGTATGGATGTATGAGGAGCTATGTATGGATCCGTGTGCTTCTGTGCATGTCCATGGTGCCAAGGTGATCATGAGTCAGTATTTTAAAAGATATGTTAAATTGATTTGTTTCATTTTCCCCCTTATTTGTGTTGCTTTCTAAAAAGCTGTTATCTGAAATTTGAAAACTTAATTAAAAATATGTAATCTGATTTGGAAATGAATTTAAAACAAAATATAAGTTGGATATATGGATATTATAGAGACAACAGGTGTGGGGGCTTTAATTGTCTCTGAACTACTCAAATGAAAACTTTCAGCAAAGCACCAGAAAAGATTGCTCTATAGTTTTCAAATGTTACTCTTTTTCTTAAAAAGTGAAGATGCTACACTACGCCTTAAGTGGTTTTTGCTTCTAAATGAAATTATGTAAGAGTACTTATAATGTAATGAGAGAAATTAACACATTGCCATCTCGGAAACTGAAGTCAAGAAAGTATTGTTTATTGTTATTTTAATGAATACAAAAAAATACACAATGAGTGATTTATACTATAAGTAGTCTAAAAGAGAGAAGGATATTGTTCTCACCTTCATTTAGATTCAAGTCAAATCTTAATACAGTTTGAAAGTAAATGAAGTGTTTACTCAACATGTCGTAATAACTTTTTTATTTTCCATAACAGGATATGTGCTTTGATCCTGAGTTTCTACCTTTGAAGGTGACTCTCATGACCATTGACAATCAGCCAATCCCCAAAGAAAGCTGGTTACAGTTTGATAGTAGAAATCATGAATTTTATGGAATTCCTATGATTGGAGACAAAGGAAATAAAGAGTACAATTTGGTGAGTAACATTATTTAATGCTTAGTGAGAAATAAAAGTGTAATATCTTTGTAAATGATTTAAGAATACTCAATATAAATAAGGTGGTAATTGTCTACTCGTGCAACTTTTTACAGTGATTAGTAGTATCTATTAAATTGAGAGTTTGCTTTAAATAAACTTGATTTAAAATACCAATTCAAAAATTAAAACAATATACTACACGTCATTAAAATTCACGCAATATGATGAAGCATTCATTACTAAAGATAAGAGGTACAGTTGGTATAAGATTATTAAATTTCATCAGTTTTTAACTATATGAGATGTTTTGCTTGAGAATGATATTATCTGATATATCTTTAATATCTGATTGAAACAATGGATTGTTGGATTTATGAGTGAAAACACTGAGAGCTGTTTTAAACATAAATGTAACTTCAAATTAACGTCTCCCCATAGGACGTTGTCACACACAGTTTTAAACTGTTTTTGACAAAAATAAATAGATAAAACAATATGCCTGCTAGGATCAGGATATTTTTTAACTTGCAAGGATTAATTTTAGTTAATGAAAAATTATAATCAAAAAACAGTTATGAGATAATTTAATGATATTTTTCGTTGGAGGCCATTAGACGTCAAGTATAAGATAATTCAATACAATTCTTAAAAACTGGAATTTGTGTTGGCATAGGAAATATTTTGAACCCTATTAACTAGAAATGAAAATAAATCTATTAGATTTTAATATTATAATAAAAGCCATAAATGTAAAGAAACTTTCCATTTCTTAAGCACAATTGTAATAACCGCTCCTTTTACAAATTTGGTTTAAAATTTTATGTTAATTTTTTTTTATAAGAAGGTGTGTGCAGCATGCAGCAGTCAGGCATGCGTGGGGAGGGGGATCTACATTTTTGAGGCCCCCAGATCCCTTAAGATTTTTTAAATATTACATTTTATATGTATGATTTTCAGTACATTTTAATTTTTGAAATGTATTTTTTGATGTTTTTAGGAGAGATTTTCTCCGACCTGCCGAAATTTTTCGGTATAATTTCGTACATGTTTCCACATTTTAAATTGTTTTCGGCCAATTTTGAATATGTGGTCAATTTTAACTTTATGAGTTATTTTTATGGAGGAAATTTACTCAAAATTCCTTTCATGGATAGATTTGAAAGTTTCGTCAAGTTTTGCCTCGAATTCGTCTGTTTGTTAAAAATTAATTTTTATTATTGAAAAAGAAAGTAGAGTTAATCTACAATACACTGCACAACCATCTGTTGTGTTGACTTTTATAAGAACGTTTATAGTTCTTGAATTTTATATCCCTAAGTAATTCTTATTGAAACATACGATAACAGTATACAGATAATGTGTCCATCCTGTTGCCTTCACTATAAATTTTAAAATGTATCTGTACCTTCTATACGTAATTTTTATCAGGGGTGTAACATAACTATAGAAAAGTAATGTTTTATGACGTGAGGCTACGGGGTTCCTTTCGTCATTTTCCCCCTTGTGCGCACGCCTATGAAGAAAAATTAACGTAATTTTGTCGTTTCGTTGTGAGTAATTCTGATTTTTTTTCTTTTGAAAATAATAATTTGTCCCCTTTTTTTAAAAAATTGCAAGTTGTTATAAGACTGAACTGCGCTGACAGTAATTAAATTAGCAGTTTAGTGAGCGGAAAATAGGAAGCCTTAGAAGTAAGTGCTGAGTTGTGTGTGTGGAGGGGGACGGGTGGCACCGCGCCCAGTGACCTCCCAGTAACATCCCAGGGCATAATCATACCATTTCCATAACAGCGGCGTCGCGGCGGGGGCGTCCCACCTGGTGCTCTGCCAGCGCGGGGGCGGGGCGCGTCCGCTGAGACGGGGGGTCGGTGTGCGTTGCAGGTGTGCGAAGACTCGGAGGGCCAGATGGCGTACGACGCGCTGGTGGTGGTGGTGAAGCCGGCGCCCGACGTGCAGTACACGGTGGAGTTCAGCATGGAGCTGGAGGTTCCGTTCGAGCAGTTCTCCATGAGCGCGTCGCTCAAGCGCCGCTTCGTGGAACGCGTGCAGGGGCTGTTCGGCGACCCGGACACCAGCGCCATCGCGCTGGCGCGCAACCCGCGGCCGCGCGCGCCGGGCGGCGGGCGGTCGCGCGGCACCGTCGTCACGTGGTACAACGCGTCGCTGCCCACCGAGAGTTGCGCCGAGTCGACGATAGAGGCGCTGCGGCGCGTGCTGCTGCAGGACGACGGCGCGTCCGTGGCCGCGCGCGTGCGGCAGAACATGGACCTCGAGTTCCCGGTGGACAGCGTCGCCATCACTCCGGCCGGCACGTGCCTCGGCGAGATGACGTCCGTGCACGTAGACGTGCCGCCCACCGCCGTGCCCGGGCGCGAGGAGACGGTGCCCGTGGGCTCGTCTGGGGACGACTACCTCGTCACGTACATCGTGCCCGCCGTCATCATCGTCGCGATGCTGCTGCTGGCCGGGGCGGTCGCCTGCGTGCTGTACCGGCGGAGGCGCACGGGCAAGATGAGCGTCGGCGACGAGGACGAGCGACAGAGCTTCCGGAACAAAGGGATTCCCGTCATCTTCCAGGTACGTGCTGATCAAATTACGCTCAGGAAGGCCACTTCCGGTCTTGCGATCTTCCAACTTCGTCTACTGTACCAGTCATGGGCGTTTTCTTGATATTCGATGAGATCACCGTAGTGTAACACAGACCGCTGGACGTGTAGTGTTGAGCGCTGTACAAGAAAAGGTTATAGACCAGCATACTCTCGTTCTAAAAGAACGCTCGTACTCGTCTGTCGCCACTGTGTATTCTGCTCGTAGAACTTTGTCTACGCAAGTAATCGCGCACTTTACTTGATGGACCTGATTGGACTCGCTGACAGACTCGGCACGTCACGTTCCAACATTTTACGTAGGTTTTGCAATGTGCCGTGTGGGTGGAATATCAAGAAAATGTACGACTGTAATATGTTATCGTTGTTCATGAATTTTCGACCGCGTCTATCGTGTACATATTGACGCGAACTTGAGAATGTGCACACTCACCGCGCGTGACTTTCCTTGTATTTTTTTCAGCGCCTCGCTTCTTCCAATAACCTGCTTTCTCAGTCTCTTCGAGCACAAACACCAGTTCGCTCGACGACGCAGTCATTGTTTTACGCGTGTTACTAACACCAATTGCTCGCTCTCACACGTATGCCCGCCCGAAATGCACTCGGCGACGGAAAAAAAACAAAACATGTGAACCTCCATCTCTTTCCACCACACCTATTCATAAGACAACATTCCGATTCCCGACAGGTAGATTGTGCAAGGTAGCCCCCTTCTTCCCCCTCTCCTCGCTGTATGAGTCAGGGCTCACGGCCGAAGCGACAAGCATGAAAACATTGGCCGGCCGGCGAGTACGTAATCAAGCCTATTACGTCGCCGCATGTTTTTGTAACGGGGAGTGCGGTGGCTGCGTTTCGAGCGGGCATTACGGTACCCCGGAGGCCTCCCGCCGTCCGATCGAGGAGAAGACCATCTCGAGGAGCGCCGAGCTGCAATGTCGACTATGTGTGTGGGTGCGTGTATGTGCAGGGGAGTTTCTACAGCGCGGTAGACATGGCACGAGCCATGAGCGCTATTTAGACTACGCCCGCTAAAACAAATAACAAAAACCATTATCAACCATAATTTGAAGTGTCATGATAGAGTCACAAATTCTGTTTGCCTTGCGCGCCTGAATTCCTGGATAGGTCTGGTACATTATATACACATGTGTGTGTGTGTGTGTGGGTATGTATCTATCTATGTATCGATGTGTACTGTGTACGTAAGTGTGTGCTTCCGACCCGTTACCGTTCCTCGAATGACGTGCGTTCGCTCCTTCTTCCAGTGCGTCTACCGCCTCTCTCTCTCTCTTCGTAGACGCACAGTGAGGAGCTCTCATTATTCCCCGGGCGGTGTCTGACCCCATTCTCCCCCTTTCCCCGCGCCCGCGCCGCGCGTTCCGACAGGTTCCTGTGTGAACAGCTGTCGCGGCGCGGCGCGGAGCGCAGCGCGGGGCGGGGCGGAGCGGAGCGGTGCGGCGCGCCGGCCGGCGCCCCCTACGAAACCCGCTTCACCGCTGCTCGTTCACCGGCCCGCCCGCTACTGATGCGACATCGAACACAACACAATCGATCTTACCAAACATCGATGTTCAAAAATTAAAACAGCGATGTTAATGGGGAGTTTGTGCCGGCCTTAGCGTCAGCAATATCGAACTTCTGCGCATGCGCGGAGGCACTAAAATGGTGCGAAACTTGAACTGCGCATGAGCAGAAGATCAATAGGGCTTTAACGTTCGAGGTGGCACAAACTCCCTGATAAACCATCAGGCAAAAAAACATCGATCATCTTAAACATCGATGTTTTATAGCTGATATACTATTCTCCAACATTAAACTCGGGCAAAACGAAATTTAATTTGACAGTGGCCGTGAATGTTAATTTATAATTGATATTTAACTTAATATAAAATTATAAAACGCTTCTCCGTGTCAAAAATAAGATGAAAGACGAAGGAAATACCAAGTTATCAAAATCATCAAGTGAGGGATATTTGTCATCCAACAACGAAACATTGAAAACATGGAGCCCAAAACTTCGAGGTTAAAAAAATATCAATACATCGATGTTTTTATAGAAACATCAATGTTTTCAATACATCGACATCGATGTTGCATCCCTACCGCCCACCTCACGGGCTCGTGGCCCATCGAGCAGCAATTTGTTCGGGGATCTGCCAGCAGACGCTTTGCATTCATTCTTGACAGGAAAATGTCCTCGACAGCTTCACAGGGATGGTTGGAATTCGTTGTCGACAGCATTACAGAGTTGGCTGGAATTCGTGCGTGGGGATATCCAAAAATGCATTCGCTTGAGGGGGATGGCTACTCACAACTGTGACGAAAACGGACGACAGAGATAGTTGATGTTGATGAAAAATGAACGTTCTCGCAAAATGGTGGTAACGTTCATTAAATTGTTAATATCAAAGAAAATGAATGTTCAAATTAATGAAAATAGGAATATTTTATTCATAATATTGAAAACTGCATTAATAATATATCAAATTTCTTTTTAAATTACTTTCATTTCACTGAAGAAAGGGAGAGAAGGGTCGGAATTGAACGGGCATATGAGCGGAGTGTTTGTAATAGTTAAGAATTGATTCCAAAACGCTGAATTTAGTGTATGTTACAAAGCATCTGAACAGTGGACTATTGTCGAAGGTAAATTTTCGATGTAAAATTGATGTTCAAACCAATGGCTAAAAACGAAATTTAACTCGAGTGAAGCAAAATATAGCAGACTGCTTTTTTGCGAGGTCTAGATTCGTTTGTATTAGTAGTATGATTTGAAGGTGAATTGATTTCAATTAAAATCCTTCTTTTATATCTCCGTTTAAAAATTGGCATAGTTCGAATTTTATGACATGACATTCTGGTAAATTAAAACTGGATTTTTATATATTTTGAAGTATAAAATTTTGAATTGTATTGAAGTCAAAAATTGTTATTAAAACAACAGTTTCAAGACGAGAGAGGATGTAGAAAACTGCTGCATATCACATTAGTTATTTAGGAGAAAAGGTCTTTGGTAGTAAAAATAATTAGTTCCGCATTCCGGTACGTGTAGCATTAGAATCTTCTAGTTTCCCTATTTGTTCATCTTAAAAACAAACTATATACGTGTTTGTTTGGAAAGTAATTAACAATTTCTTAGAAATGCATAAATTAATTCGTTTGAGATAAGGTATTTGTTAATTAAATCGAATTTTCGATAATGTGAATTTTGGAATAATTGGAATTAACGAGTAGAGGGTACGAATAAACGAAGGTATGACATGTGTACTACACAAGTTTGAAAAAACTTTTAAATAACTTTTTAGTTGCGAACTCCAGCAGAAGTCGTAAATATGATGCTGTCGATGCTGGGTTGAACTGGGCAGACCGTTTAGCGCCGCCAATGTAAATATCTGCATTGGCACGCTTTTGGGAGAGTTAGAGTATACGAGCTAAAATTAGTTTTGTTATGTTATGACTGGGAGAGTTCATTCACTTCAGAAAAGGGGACGGTATTAACAGAGACATCAGGCGTTAACCTTTCTTAAATTCACCTACCTCAAACTTTCAAGTTGTGATCTTCATTTTTCTGTAAAGTGTACTGTTTTTTTTGTTTGTGTATCATCCAACACATTGTATATATTATGTAATTGTATACTTCGTATCTTATCTTCTTATAAAAATACACTGGTTTTAAAACTACACATTCAAAAGGTTCTTAATAATGTACTCGTATAAAATTTTGTATAACATTTTTTAAAACTAACTTTAAGACTTCAATGAACACTACGACTTTATTAGCATTTATAAAAACAGGAATGTCAAACAAATGAGACACAGAGGCAGAAATCTCACTATAAAAGCATTTTCATAATCTCAAAAGAATGTGATCCACAGTCAGTCGTGACCCATGTCACTTGTCCCTCACTAAACTATTTATGTACTCCAGATATCTCTGTAAATATTTGATTAATGTTTGCCAGAGTTGGCTTTATCGTCAGTTACCCTATTAGTGAATGTGTCTTTTAGTTCCCAAAATGAATCATAAGAATAGCACAGCTCAGCGTTGGGAATATTGTTTGCGATGAAGTATGAGGAAATGAAATGTAGTGATAATAACCAATGTCACTTTGACAAGTATTACTGACCGCGACAACTTCCGGGTGTGTTAGGAAAACGAAGATGATTCAGTTGATAGTTGCTCTTGGAAACACTTCAGATAGCTTTATAAACTATAAATTAGAAACGAAATTGTTAAAAATGTATCTTCCTCAAAAGAACGGAATTGGTTTTTTACGATTTTATACGTGTGGTTTACGGAGGTCTTGAAGAAATACAATTTTACAGCGTACACTTAAAATTCAATTTCACTTTATTGAAAATATCTAATTGCAAATCATAGTTAAACAAAATTCCGTTGCCTTCTGGTCGACGAACTGGTGGAACACTTCCTGTCGCCACACAAAGCTTCTGCGTTTATCAACATACTTCGGCGATAACACGCAAATTTCGATAAACCCAAGCTGTCGTAGCAGTATGTAGTTCCGAGGCAAAGTAGTTCCCCAGACTTTCACGCATTCACGGAAATAAAATTGCGAAGAAACATTCAAGAAAGTAAAATATAAAAAGTACATAAATAACCATAAATCTTGTAAATCGTTTTTACGTGGGAGAGTTCTCCTATTTGCAGTACTATTCGCTGCTTAAAGGTACAACTTGGTGTTCAACTACACTCGCGTGAACTACCCATAAAATCGTGTAATTTATATTTCAATAGAATGTATTAGTGATTTTGTTCATTTGTAGCTCTGAAGAGAGTCCGGATTGTGAAATATCGTCAACATGAATAAAATTGAATTCTTTCAACTCGAATATTGTTACCTGCTTATACTGCGGTTTTCGCAATTCTACCCCTGGCAGGTATCAACTGTTGATGGTTTCATTGAATCGGGAGCTTGAACGTCACCATGGTGATGTCACTATGGTGACGTT